TAATCACTCGGTAAATAAACAAAAATGTCGCCCAATAAAAGCTATGATAAATTCCACAATTTTTTTCTTTAGAACATAAATCAATGGCCGCGCTGATCGATTCCATGAGCCAAACCTTTTGTCGCAACAGGCCGCAACTGCAGTAGTTTGGCTGATCTTCAGGCCCCCTGAATCTTGATATCAGCCTATGTTGCTCCCCACGCATTCGAGACTGTGCTGTGTGTATAGTTTTTTACCCTTTATTCCTCTTAAACCCACTACCTACTCTTATTTTCATACGATCATAAGTGGCCTACTTTAACATTATAGATTCCTTTGACCTAAGCACTCTTTTCGGGGCTACGTAAATTATTAAAGGTGAGCATTCATGTTCAAATCTTCTGGCATTTTGGTTTGAGGTAACAGCCTCCAGTGTTTTACATGCACGCCTGCACCATCCGAAATTTTAAGATTTCAACTTAATTTCATTAATTTCCCAGTACCCACTTAGCACTAAACCATTGAAATTAACATTAATAAATTTAAATAAAAGCTATAATAATTTATTTCAACGAAAGTGTTAATTGAACATTTCTAGACATAATTATTTATGCCTTTAGTTAGTATTATTTACCATTTTTTATGAAGTTTATCCGTTACTGAGCTAAACCGTTTTTTAATCGCGCTCCAGCTGCTTTCTCTCTTATATCATTTCGGAACTATGTATGTATTTCATATTCTTTATTATTTTTTAGTAATAAAAATTATTTATTCTTTCACAAGTACATATGTATGTATGTATTCAAATTTTAGGTATATAATAAACACAAAACTGTTTACACACAAACAAAACGCGACTCAACAGCAGCTTCTCACATGCTGCATTCACTGTTTACCGACTGCGACTGATTCGCAGGACAACTAATAGCACAACAGGAAGCGTCGGGTGTCCTTTAAACAAGCAAACCAATAGCAGCATGGAAAACCAGTGTTGCTTCTTGACATAGCTGAGCAACATTTTTGCGGACATTATTCAGTTTTGATAACATTTGAATTTCGGTTAGAGGTATGTATGTACATACATATGCCTACATATACATATGTATATATGCGTGTACATATGTTGTCGGTCAATTAACTACATACTCAGTAATCACCAATTAAGTTGTTATTAGCTTAAATATTGCACCCTTTAATATCAAATGTATCACTCCAATTACCTATACCGTGCGATAAAATCCGTTTTACAAATTTACATAATACATCCACCTTCACAAAGCTTAAGAGAGATTGCCAATATTTAAGTCACGATTTATGAGATTTTTTTTTTTGCAATTCCCTTTGTGGCAACTTTGGTTTATTGGGTATAAATGTTTCGCTTCACAGAAATCGCGCATACCACACGTTGGCCCAACATGTTGCAGATGCAAATGTTTTTTGCTTGTTTCACTGCAACATGTTGCGTAGACTTTCATTTGGAAAGCGCAACTTATACCAAGGCAACCCAACAATAACCTACAGTGTGCATTAAATAAAAATGCAGTGACATACTTCAGTACATATCGGATTATACGGTTATACATACATATGTATGTAGATATAGTCACGGTATTCATATAAACGCGTAAATGCCTCGCATCCGCGTATACCTCGTAAATAAATGGGTTTTCCATACAAAATTAAGTAAGTTTACGAGGTTTACGTGCTTGCGAGTCATTTATGCGTTTAGATTGAATTCTATTCTATTCTATTGAATTTCCAACAATGAAATAGTTACACTGAAAAATAATAACTGGTATAAAGAGATAAATGAATCGTTATGAATTTACCAACACTTTTCCGATATGGCAAATTTGGTGCAGTTCAACGGCGCTCTTTTAAATGAGCCGAACTGCATAAAAATTGGCATATTCTCTTGGTAATTAACCGATGTAAACGTAATCTTTTCTTCAGCACCAACTAGGGTGTTCGATCATTCGCCTTTATTTGAAAATTTGTAAAACCCCGGCTATATTTTAGGTATGATTAATGCTGTAATAAGTTATTATACGAAAAACTAGTAAAAACTTGCAACTTAAGCCATTTTGACACTTCTGACGGTTAAGTTTTGGCCCGAAATTTTCTTCCCAACGTCATAAAAATAAAAAAAATTACAAAAGATTTAAAATTTTCATCCATATTTTCATTTCGCTAATTATGTTTCATCAAACAGTTTGTTTACATTTGAATTTGAAACATAACCTTTCTTTTTGACTTCTGCAAATTCCTGCTTAAAATTTTTACTTGCAAAAATTTGCAGCTCTCTCGGGTTGTTACGCTCTCGAATTCGCTCCCTCTTGCAAATATTTTGGGTTATTGAATGCATTTACAGTAAAAACTTTCAAGTACTAGTAACAATTCGTAACGATTTTTAACCGACTTCCAAAAACGGAGGAGGTTATCAGTTTGTCGGAATATTTTTTAATTTTTAATTTTTTTTTTTTTTGTTATGTATGTTACCGCATAACTTTGGACCACGTCAACCGATTTCGATAATTCTAATTAACCATACTAATTTGGTTTAGATCCGATCATTGAATCATGAAATATATGTACATATTTTTTTCGGTTTTTTTGCTAAAAATTACTTGTTTACTCTTGAATGGACCTTATGAAAGCAAATGCTACAGAGAAAATTCTAAAAATTCAACGGTAATTTTTACCCATTTGAAACTTTATTATTCTAGAATTGAACGATCTACAAAACTGCATACAGCTAATTCCACGGCATTTCAACTTTAATTATTTTAAATCAGGGGTCGGCATTCTAAAAGCCAGATTATGGCAACTTAACTTAACTTAACGGAACGTAGAACTTAGAGAATCAAAATGAAACAGATTTCGCCGTGGCATTAAGTTACGTTAAGTTTCGGCTATTCAATTATAAGCAACACCCATTTAACAGCATTTTGAAGAGAGAGCCGTAAGTTACGTTAAGTTGACATAATCAGACCATAAAAGCGCAAACAGTCAACGACGTAACGTGACGTAGGTTAACGCAGACACGATCTACCTTATGGTACTCGCGTGTTAACGAAAACTCACCACCGAATGGCGGTAACGTTGCCGTTGCTTCTCTCTCTCTCTATCAACAGTAAATTTTATATGCTGCTACGTACGTCAACCTACGTTTACGCTACGTCGTTGACTAACTGCGCTTTAACGCATTCAAACGATTCAAAACTGAGACTGTGTGCGTTAAATGCACCGCTCAGCTGCCGCTTCGTATACGTGTAAAACACACATGTGCTCAGTGAGCTATGGCCTGCCGACCACTGTTTTAAATCATTATAAAATTAGCGAAGCAAAAAATAATTTTTTTACACCTGATTCCTCACAGTTCATCCCCTGCTTAGCCATGTAAACTGAAATTCCCCGCAAATCGGGGAATTCCACACGAGTTGGCTTCCCTGGTAGAGCTACAAAATATCAAAATATTTTAATTTTCGGGCGACGGTTGCAGCAACACGATAAATCTATAGATTTACGTTCTTTGGTAGAAGCTAGAATGTTCGATATTTAAGAAAGTATCGATATCATGAACCGATTTAATTCGATATGGCGATATATCGGGCTGAACAATATCGATATCGGAAAAATCGATGTTGAAAATTCTACTCCCAATTGAATAGAATATTAGACCTGCTTATCAACTCAACTAATTGTGTTATTTCCATCTTGTATATTTACTGAGAATTAAAACGGCATGTTGGTCGACTCAAGCGGTTTGTCAAAGCTAAGAGGTAAATAAATCACACAAGCTGTTGATTAAACCTACTTTCGTTCCCACGACAGTCGGGTCTACGTAACCGGAACGACCCAGATTTATATCTGGCCAAGGACTGTCACTCCAGCAACACTCCCCAAAAAGTCTTTGGGGAATTTGTATGCTGCTACAACAACAACATTAAACCTACTTTAGTATTTTTCCATACACTTCTTTGTAGATGAAAAATTAATTTCTACTTAAATATCGATATTGCGGGTAAAGTATCGATGTTTTCGATATATCGAACTTGGAAAATCGATTCAAAAAATCGATTATCGTGCCATGAAATATCGATATTCAGAATAATCGATACGATATCGAACATTCCTAGTGGAAGCCCTGTGGCAAGGCGAATTTATACAAGGTGGTGTTGTAAGATCAGCTGATTTCTTCGCCTTACATGTATTTTGATTTTTCTTTTACTGATTAGACAGCACACCCATCAAAAGCAAAAACAAAATACATGTCTCAATTCGCTCCAAAATTTACATGTATTTTGTTTTTGCTCTTGATGGGTGTGCTGTCTAATCAGTAAAAGCGAAATCAAAATACATGTAAGGCGAAGAAATCAGCTGATTTTACAACACCACCTTGTATAAATTCGCCTTGACTCGGTCTGTGCATCGGCGACTAAAAACCAAAATTTTTGAATTTCACAGGCGGTATGTGACAAGTTCTGTGCAGACCAAATACACGCTGAGGCAAGTTCTCGCGATACGCAGACCTACTGTGTGGTGTATTGTACCTATTAAACCCGTCAAACAAACCCCCTTCAAATTTAAATTTTATTTTTGAAGTTGTATCATCATAAAAAAGATTTGGGGATTTTTGGGATAATTTTCTAAAATGAAGTCGGATGCTTCGTTATTATTCACTTTGCTTATCAATTTAATCAAGCAGCACTTTACACGGACTACAGCACACGTCAAACGATTTTGGTCAAACAGCCATCAATTTCATACGTACAGAATTTCACCAACCCATACGCACGAGTTTGATCAAACAATTTGACCATGTAAGGTCCCTATTAGAATCATCCACCAGAAAATGTTAAAAACACTAATTTATATTGATTTTCAACAATGTCAGCTTAGATGCGGTAAACGCTATAATATCTTTACATATATTTAAAACACGCTTGTAAAACGCTTAAAACTATTTCTTTTAGTTATGTAGTATCGCTTAATTCAATTGTTTTCAATAAATCACTCACCCAATGCAAAACACACACATGAAATAAACACTTGAAGCAAATGCCGAAAATGCAACACTTTTCGACATTGAGAGTGAGAGAGAAATCAAGAAAAGAATCAAGCGATAATTGAAAAACGTGAAAGCAAAGGAGACAAAGCAAAATGCCGGGAGCGCTGCCGCTGCCAGCAGCGTAGTCAATAGCGCCAAATACCACGGCAATTACGAAGTGATCAGAAGCGATAACCATAAAACTAAATAGCAATAGGTAAAACCAGGTGTTAAAACGAGAACGCTGACAATATTATGAAACGAGATATAGATTTTAGCTAGTTACTCTTCTATGACGAAATACAATGGAGAAAACTTGCCGATGCGACCCCTGTAGAGTTTCGGTAGGGTCGCCAGCTAATGTTAATACTCCTCGAATACGCCAAAAAATCTGAGTTTTTACGAAACTCTCCGCTGTAATAGAAATTGCATATCTGCAATTACAAATAGCTACTCTTCTTATGTAATCTGGTTTAGAGCTGTAAAAGTAACGAAAATTTCGATACCCGTATATATTCGTTACTAATCCAGGCTGAGATTTCCAATAATGGACCATTTCCTATTTCAGGCAAAGTACTGCGATTTTTTTAATGAAATTCGCAGGGGGTGCTGAGGAAGTGGCCGCGAAGTATGTAATGCCAGATCGTTGAAAACTTTACCGAAAAATACTTTGTTAGGCATTACGAAATATAAAGTATATAAAATATATAAATTTCAAAGTAAAACAATATTTTATTACAAAGTGAAAATTTGTAATAAAAAATCACGTGATGCAAAACATTCAAAAACGTGCGTTTTCATTGTTTCCGTTTTCAGTTTGTTTTTCGACATATTTGGTATGTGTGGCTGCACGGAAATTTCAGTTCATTCGCTCTTCAAAGGAAAAAGTGAGGTTGAATTACACTTTTTTGCAACTTTAACTATTAATTATTTAAGAACTATAAGCCTCCGGAGGGGGACCCCCACTACACCCCCCATCACCCTGTTTTTTCTAAGTCTGGAAAATTTCCCCCTAATCCAATCAACACCCGTATTTTTCGTATCGTTACTTTTGATACAAGCACTTGAACCGCCCACGAATCATCGCAACAAATCTCCTAGGATAAGAAAATGTTCATTCGTACATATGTATGTATGTACATACATATACACGCAACAGTTTCGTTCCCGCCCAATATATTGTGTTGCATTGGTTCATGTTAATGGTGCATATACGGAAAATGCGAGTAACGAGATTGCTATGTGAGTAACGATTCGGTACTTCCAGTCAGGGGTTGAACCCGTTACTCAGTAGCGAATACATACGGTTTGCTACAGTTCTAATCTGGTTCATGTTAGACTTAAGATTGCAGTAAGAAAGTATCCAGTAACTTGCCAATAACCAAATTTGTATAGCGTAAGCCAACATTTACTCCCAGTGAGAGAAAAATGCAAGAAAGTATTTTCTATTTTATTGCAAATATGCAAAATGTTTATTTTATTTTTAATTTTTTTATCATGCTAAATACCAAGTATTAACCATTTATAACCGCTACTCAAATTTTGACGTGCGAGAATTTACAACTCTCATATATCACCAATTTATTAAAATTACAATAATGGTCGGTAATTGGACTCTGGCAACCCTGGAAATGTGTGTCGTCTCGAAAGTGTACACCATCAGCCATTTAATATTGAGAGACGTACTTGTGGCGAAAAACTCGGGGTCGTTTCATTAATATTTGTACGGGAAAAAAGGTGATTTTATATAATAAATTGTAACTGGATAAAAATATAAATCTATTAAAATGATAAAAGCATAAAATGGAAGTGAATGAAAATGAAATTGTATCGCAAAAATACATTTGAAAAAATTGTACGAGAAAAACTTCAAGTGAAGCAAGTAGAAGTGCACGAACATAAAGCAAAAGCAATTGAAGCAGAGAAAGACCAAGTATTGGTTAAAGCAGAAGCAGCAGTGCAGGCAGTGGCTAGAGTGAGAAGGCGGCAATTGCAAGAAATCGAATCGTGTGAAAAACGGAAAACGACAGCACTGGATCCACCAACAACAAGAAAGGCTGCAACAAAATTGACAATAGACCCGGCAGCGACGTTGGAAGTGTTGGCAGAAACGGCGGCAGTGACGACGTCAGTGTGCTCAGTCGGCATACGTGTGTGAAGGGTTTTGCAGAAAAAACTTAAAATCAACTAAAATTATAAGTGAACGAAGTCATGTTGAACGATTTTTACCTGCAAAGCTTTATTAATTTAAATGACTGAAAACAGTAAACTAGATGCAATAATGTGTAATTGACTAACAATTCTATATGCAAATATTGAGAAGCTTGGTAAATGTACATACATCGGTAATTGAAAAAGCGTGTCGAAGAATTGTGAATATCGGAAAATACATAAAATCTAAAATTGTAATTAAAACAGAAGGAAGAAGCAACAAAGTATAGAAAAGAAACGAAATAGCAAATGAGCGAATATTGGTGGAACTGCTCACGCATAGTTTTACCACGTAAAACCGAACGCAAAGCAAATGTGAAATCTGGGTACAGCAGCTAATTTGGTGTGTACTTTTCCAGTGGTGTTGTGCAACGCAGTGCATCGTAAGTGATTACGTTATAACGTAAAAAAGTAAATAACGTATGTGAATAATTTCGTGTTTATATGACGCTCTCTCTTGACCACAGCTTTCGCTCTTTAAACGTTTTATTGTCTTGTTTTTCCTCTTACCTATATGTGCACACATATATGTATGTTTGTATCTGTTTTTTTTTTTTTTAGCTGGGGGATCGCTGAGCCAATTTTGCAGAGTTTTGATATTGAAACACTTTGCCCCAAGCAGCTGGGGAAAAGAAGAGGATCTCTGAAACAAAGTGCATTGATAAAATATTACAAAAAACGAGAAAGGTTTGTAAATATTATCACTTAAGTTCTGTAACACACCTTTCATTTGATATTTTACGTCCAATATGGCACTGATGTTTGATGGTGGCGGTTGTATGTATGTATACAATCTAAGTTCATATGGACGTACAAACATATGTATGTACATACATACATACTTTATGTATACATATATTAAAATAAAGTGCATACAAAACAAATCTTGCCATACATATGTACATGTCCGTAAAGTACATAGAGTACTGTTCAGATAAAAATTACCATTTTATTATAAACCCACATATGTATGTAAGTATATATTTCAAACTACAACATATGTATGAAGAAATCCGCATTAAGACTAGATTGTCAAAAGCATTTTTTTTAAGTATTTTTAGGCCCAGGTTTTAAATTTATTGGGTTGGCTTTCCATTATATCGGTTTTTGAGTGATTTCACAAAACTATCACGAATTTCGTCATGAAACTTGGCGGGGATGTTAAGAGTTGTATAGATTCACTTTATTAGTAGAAGTATTTAACAAATTTTTTGTTAAATTCTTTGTAGTTTCACTAGCATAGTTTCATATAAAAAGAGCACTTAACACTTATATTTTTATAAATATACGATCTTTGCAATGTTCACGTGTATTTTCAGTATATTAAATGTATTTTATTTAATTTTTTAACAATATAAAACGCGTTTAATAATTTCACTACTTTTTAACAAAGTAAACAAGTAAATAAATTAAAATGGCTGTAATGGTGAATAGAAAGGGTGCTACCAGATGTTCGAAAATTAAAGACACTAAAACGAAGGGATTTTCAACAATGTACTTTCGATAAAATTAGGGACTAAATGAGTATAATGTGTTTTTGCAATACGTAAAAAAAAGAGCTCTGCATAAAAATATTGTGGAAGGCTTAACGATCTTGGCGTGATGATGTTAATTTATTTTTTGCGTACGCAAAAAGAAGTTCTGCATAAAAAAATATAGTGTTACCCCTTTACCACAAAAACGTTAAAAAAAAACAATCCATACTTCGAAAAAATAATGAAAGTTTTGGCTGAGATTTCCTTTTCAGAAGCAATGGCTATATCATTCAAAGTTTACGGAATTTTTTTTTTATAAAACTTGGTGGGGATATTAATGGAGGTCTTCTTTTACTCAGTTTATCACTTTCACAATGTTGTTGCTAATAGTGTTTAAGTAATTTGTTGTTAAAATATCCCGACTACTATCACTAAATTTCAATTTAAACCGTCAATTTTCACTTAAATTTATTGTAATACTAGTCGGTCTCGTATGCGCGAGGGTTCGCCACGCGTTGAAAGTGTAGATATTAAATAAGGTGTGATAGACAACTAAACAGGTTGGAATCCTAAAAAAAAATTATATATAATTGCGCATCTGGAGACCAAGCCGTTTCATTTGACACCTCATTTCTTGTAATCTAACCAAAAGCCTACATTTTTGTACACAGGTTGCAACTCCCTTCGAAAAATAAAAACTTACTGCAAATCTGAAGGCTCTGGTTTTTCATTTGATACCTAAAATCTAAACACATTAACAAAAAACTTATTTCACATGCAGAGGCCATATCCTTTCACTTGATACCTTAGTTTTGAGTTCAACAAACGGTGAAGATCTTATAATTTTTAAAAAGTGGCAAAGCAATACATTATTGAACATCTAAACGCCGAGCCCTTTTATTTGACACCTCATTTCTTGTTATCCAACGAACAGTGCGGATCTTATAATATTTTAGACAGGTGACAACCCTATACAAATTTAAAATACTAAAGATAATATTCCTCATTATTATACTTAAAAAAACTCGTCTAAATCCGTTCAGTAGTTTTAGAGAATCTCGATTTTCTATTAAACTATGTATAGAAGATAGACATTTTTAAATAGGTGGCAACCCTACTAAAAAAGTTTTAGTTTTTGCACATGCGAAGGCCATGCCCTTTCATTTGATATATTTAAAAAAACTCGTCTAAATCCGTTCAGTAGTTTTAGAGAATCTCGATTTTCTATTAAACTATGTATAGAAGATAGACATTTTTAAATAGGTGGCAACCCTACTCAAAAAGTTTTAGTTTTTGCATATGCGAAGGCCATGCCCTTTCATTTGATATCTCGTATTGTAACCCAACGAACCGTGAAAATGTTTTTACTTTTTATTAGGTGGCAGCCCTACTCAAAAAAATAATACACTATTGCATATCTAGAAGCCAAGTCTACATTTGACTACGACGGTGCTGAACTGATGCCTACGCTTATAATGATTGTATATAGTAATTTTATCAACAGGTGGCAACCGTATTCAAAAATTAAAATATTTGTGCTCTTCTAGAGGCCCAGCCCTTTCTTTTGACACTTTATGTTTTGTAATCCAACGAACGATGCGGTTCCTATAGTTTTTTAGACGGGTGGCAACCCTATTAAACTTCTAAGTAAACAAGTAATTTTTAGCAAAAAAAACCGACTTCAATTCTCATATAAAAAAATATATATGTATATATCTCATGATCCACTGATCGGATCTTAACCGGATTAGTATGGGACCACCTCTGAGACACTACCTTTCCGATGCAAAAGTAATTATCGAAATCGGTTGAATCGTGGTCCAAAGTTATGCGGAAACAAACATAAAAAAAAAAATATTTCGACGAACTGATAACCTCCTCCTTTTTTTGGAAGTCGGTTAAAAAGGTCACTCTCCTGTCGATACAAAGTATATTAGAGAAAATCTCGTCAAATTCCGTTCAGTATTTTTTGAGATTACCGCGTACACAGATTCTCGACTGAACACCCTACCTCAGAATTCGGGTCGAAAACGCCCTGTCTCACTTCAAATTGTAATGAAAATGTGATGAGATAGAAACGTTTTTGAATCGGCAGCTAAGATAGGGCGTTTTTGAAATGAACTCTGAAATAGGGCGTTCTTCAGCAAAATTCTAAAGTAGGGCGTTCTTGAAAAAATCCCGCGAATTTTTTTTATTAAAAATTTTCGCCTGCACCGCTTTTTAAAAAGAAATCAATACTTCAATAAATAATGAAAATGGATCTTTGTTTTACGATTTAACTTGTAGCTTGCTGATTCGCAACTGCCTATTCGTGCGCTGTAGCAGCGGCCTTATATACCTGCGTTCGCACTCATGGCAACTCTAGAACGCTCTGCCCTCTATCGCACATTTTCTCATTGATTAAAAGGTCTAAAATTTTTGGCAAAAACCTTTTGCTTGGGTTTTACATATGTAACATGGAAACTATCCATATCCACTTCAAAGGCTTGCAATACCGAAATACCCTCAAAAGTTAGGAAATTCCATGTCGGACAACATTGCAGCCAAGAATGATATAATAGTTGTGTTTAATGAGTGTAGAGCAGGTCAAGTTAGAGCAGAATCGAGCAACTGTCAACAAAAAAAAAACAATAGAGCAAGTTAGAGCAGCTCAGATCAGAAATCTGATGAAACACTTTTCAAGCAGAAGTTCTCGAAACAGTTGCTTGCTCTTAAGTTACTCCATCGAAGAAGCTGGTGCAGAAAATCGTGCGCTAAGTTGCTCTAGTTCCTCTTAGCGCAGGCTCATGATTCAATAATACAAGGTTCGATAAACTAACAGGATTCTCTCTCGCACCGCTCCCTTAGCTGTGGCACCCACCGTGTTGCTTCTTTGCAAATTTACTTGGGAAAAGCGTAGCTTTGCTGTGAAATAGAAGTATAAGCTTTTGTGCAATATGTTTATTTGTATATGCATATGAAGCACATTTAACTGATGAAAACATAAATTGTTTTTAAATTGGATGTTTACATAAATCTCATAGTAGTTTTATTTTGATTTTGAGTCCTTTTGCAGTTTTTGTACAGCTAAATAGCACATAAATTACGTAATTCACGTAGATGTACTAATATTTCGTTCAACATTTTGTTTAACAAGTAACTTTTAGCAAAAAAAAAACCGACTGCTGTAGGTTACACTAGGTTAAGATATATCACAAAATTGTGTTTCAAGAGGATTTTTCTTGCTCTAACTTAATCTAGTTTTTGTTTCATGAGCTTGCGCTAAGTGGAACTAGAGCAACTTAGAGCTCATAAGATTTGTGAACTGTGTTGCTCTAACTCAGTGTGTCCAGATTGTTTAAAAAAAGGCGCAATTTCTGAAAAAAATCGCCAATTTTTTTTTAATAAAAGTCATATAGTTTTTAAAACCAAAAATGAATATAATACCTTCAGAGGATAATAATAAATAACATAAATCACTTTTATAATAGAGATGTACAAACATTTTTTTTTTTAAATACGCATACTTTTAAAAAATATTTGTTTGAACACATTTTGCAATAGTACTGCGCAATTATTAAACTTATTATAACTCTTATTAATTGATTAATCGCACACTCCGCTTTTAAGCCAATGGCGATTTCCTAAATATTTACGAGCAAATATCCAAAAAAAATCGCCAAATTGGCGCGAAATCGCCAAATATGGACACTCTGCACTAACTTTCTCTATTGTTTTTTTGACATCTGCTCGATTATGCTCTAACTTGAGCTGCTCTGAACTATTTTCGGTCTCATTAAACACAACTATTATTTTATTTTATTTATTTATTTATTTGTTACAGTCTTGCGACTTAAAAGTACAGATAGGTAGGACAGGCTCATGAAACAAAAACTAGAGTAAGTTAGAGCAAGAAAAATCCCCATGATTCTGTCAAGTTCACTGAGAGCGGAATAGCGATACTTTTGTTCTCTATATCTTGCATTGCAGCTAGGTACAGCCCGCTTCACTTGAATAGGTACACACGTGTTCCTCAGATCTGAACTTACATCTAAATTTCTGGGCATCGGAGAAGTTTCTTTTTGATCTCATGTTAAAGAATGATCAATTGCAAAGAAAAGCGGAGAAAATGTAGACAACACCTCTTTTACTTTGGATTTTATTCCACGTTTTATCAAACTACACGAAATTTATGTTTATTGTTTGGATTCACTTGAATAGGCACAGTGAATT